TTTGCGTCTAAATTTCATTAAGGCTAATTTTAATTTTATTAATTATTTTCTTCTTGGAAGACGTGATTGAAGAAATTATTCTTATTTGTTACTGAGTTGAATAATCACACAAAGATTGACAATGAAAGATAATACTTAGGTCAAGAACAACGCATATAAGATTCGCAGAGACGCGTAGAAGAAGTAGTCCACTGCTAGAAATGAGTCAAGTAAATTCTACAATAAATCTCCAACTGTTGGATATACACAAACCGCTCCACGCGGTTAGATGTGGCACAAGGCCGAATTTAATGTTGTTACATTTTTTGTATATATATATATATATATATATATATATATATATATATATATGTGTGTGTGTGTGTGTGTAACTAGTGAGTTAGTCAAAATGACTTAACTCCCTTTATAGTCTACCAATAGAAGATTAACCAATCAGAAGCCGCAGAACATTGTATCCGTCGTGTATAAAGGCGGCCATTTTTGTATACCCTACCCGAATGACCAGTGCCAACTTGTCAGGCGAAGATGACAGAAGGAAGAACTACGCTCTGCTACTTTGCTGCGATATCCACTGCTAACCTGAACTACGCTTTCCTACTGTCTCCGAAATATTCACTGCTAACCTCTGGATTCTATACTCGAAGACGACCAAAAATGTCTAACAAATGTTAGGTATCCGAGCCCGTAGGCTTCGTCAAAAGTTCTCCGTAGACCCCGTATAAAACGGGGTTGGGTAGCTGTTTTCTGAGACGAGACTCTACCCTTCGACAGCCTCGTATGGGGTCCTCTCCGACGGGAGGCAGAGAGTTTGACCAGTACAGCTGGAGACGAATCTCCAACTGCAGACCAACATACAGTATTTACTACTGTATTTATGGGAATGGGGACATACCCATTATCGTCCGTAGGTATGTTACAACAGTTAGGGTTTGTTTAATGCTGCTAAGTTGCTTATGTTCGAAGAGCTTATTTTGACTGGGTAAATCATGTTTTGATGACATCTATTTTGTATCTACAAGGACATTTACTATTGTAGTTAAGTAAACACGACTTGCTGCTAGTGCGATTTTTGTAAAATAGGTCGTACACTTATAGCTACAGGCGTCGAATAATACGCTAAGTAAATGGATTTTATTGATAATGTTGAGTTCATAAGTAAAGTGATGGACAGAATTATTCCCAAAGGTTACTTTCAGTCTATTTTTAATTTCTTCTAAGCTAATATGAACAATCACCAGCTCAATAATCAAAACCTATCCGAAAATTGGAAAACATAGCTTTGTACTTATATAACTGGCATATATTTTTCATTTTATATTGATGCTACAGGTAAAGCATTAGCACTCATATATATCACACATACAGAAAGAAAGCTATGCAATAACGATCATTTATCATCACAGACATAGCTGAAACGATGTTACTATAACAATCAAGATGAGGATACTAGTCAGAATGAATCAGTGTATAAAAATGATATTTCCTCATCTCAGAAATGGGCGAAACGTTGTGACTATAACAACCAAAATGAGGATACTAGTCAGAATGAATCAGTGTATAAAAATGATATTTCCTCATCTCAGAAATGGGCGAAACGTTGTGACTATAACAACCAAAATGAGGATACTAGTCAGAATGAATCAGTGTATAAAAATGATAATTCCTCATCTCAGAAATGGGCGAAAGGTTGTGACTATAACAACCAAAATGAGGATACTAGTCAGAATGAATCAGTATATAAAATGATAATTCCTCATCTCAGAAATGGCCGAAAGGTTGTGACTATAACAACCAAAATGAGGATACTAGTCAGAATGAATCAGTGTATAAAAAAATGATAATTCCTCATCTCAGAAAAAGGTTGTGACTATAACAAAAAAAAATGAGGATACTTTTGAATGAATCAGTGTATAAAAATGATAAACTCCTTTTCTTCGTTTGACTATAACAACCAAAATGAGGGATACTTCAGAATGAATCAGTGTATAAAATGATAATTCCTGATCTCAGAAATGGCCGATTGTGACTATAACATCCAAAATGAGGATACTAGTCAGAATGAATCAGTGTATAAAAATGATAATTCCTCATCTCAGAAATGGGTGAAAGGTTGTGACTATAACAACCAAAATGAGGATACTAGTCAGAATGAATCTTTGTATAAAATGATAATTCCTCATCTCAGAAATGGCCGAAAGGTTGTGACTATAACAACCAAAATGAGGATACTAGTCAGAATGAATCAGTGTATAAAAATGATAATTCCTCATCTCAGAAATGGCCGAAAGGTTGTGACTATAACAACCAAAATGAGGATACTAGTCAGAATGAATGTGTATAAAATGATAATTCCTCATCTCAGAAATGGCCGAAAGGTTGTGACTATAACAACCAAAATGAGGATACTAGTCAGAATGAATCAGTGTATAAAAATGATAATTCCTCATCTCAGAAATGGCTGAAAAGGTTTGACTATAACAACCAAAATGAGGATACTAGTCAGAATGAATCAGTGTATAAAATGATATTTCCTCATCTCAGAAATGGGCGAAACGTTTGACTATCCAACCAAGATGAGGATCCTAGTCAGAATGAATCAGTGTATAGAAAATGATAATTCCTCATCAAGAAATGGCCGAAAGGTTGTGACTATAACAACCCAAATGAGGATACTAACAGAATGAATCAGTGTATAAAAATAATTCCTCATCTCAAATGGGCGAAACGTTGTGACTATAACAACCAAGATGAGGATACTAGTCCGAATGAATCAGTGTATAAAATGATAATTCCTCATCTGAAATGGGCGAAACGTTGTGACTATAACAACCAAAATGAGGATACTAGTCAGAATGAATCAGTGTATAAAAATGATAATTCCTCATCTCAGAAATGGCCGAAAGGTTGTGACTATAACAACCAAAATGAGGATACTAGTCAGAATGAATCAGTGTATAAAAATGATAATTCCTCATCTCAGAAATGGCCGAAAGGTTGTGACTATAACAACCAAAATGAGGATACTAGTCAGAATGAATCAGTGTATAAAAATGATAATTCCTCATCTCAGAAATGGGCGAAACGTTGTGACTATAACAACCAAGATGAGGATACTAGTCAGAATGAATCAGTGTATAAAAATGATAATTCCTCATCTCAGAAATGGGCGAAACGTTCTGAATATAACAGATAAAATGAGGATACTAGTCAGAATGAATCAGTGTATAAAAATGATAATTCCTCATCTCAGAAATGGATGAAATGTTGTGACTATAACAACCAAAATGAGGATACCAGAAATGAAAGTGTATAAAAAATGATAATTCCTCATCTCAGAAATGGCCGAAATGACTATAATAACCAAAAATGAGGATACTAGTCAGAATGAATCAGTGTATAAAATGATAATTCCTCATCTCAGAAATGGCCGAAAGGTTGTGACTATAACAACCAAAATGAGGATACAAGTCAGAATGAATCAGTGTATAAAAATGATATTTCCTCATCTCAGAAATGGGCGAAACGTTCCCTATAAACCCAAAAATGAGGATACTAGTCAGAATGAATCAGTGTATAAAAAATGGTAATTCCTCATCTCAGAAATGGCCGAAAGGTTGTGACTATAACAACCAAAATGAGGATAGAGAATGAATCAGTGTATAAAATGATATTTCCCCATAGAAATGGGCGAAATGTTGTGACTATAATACCCAAAATGAGGATACTAGTCAGAATGAATCAGTGTATAAAAATGGTAATTCCTCATCTCAGAAATGTAATAGATAACAAGAAAGATAGGATACTAGTCAGAATGAAGAGTGATAAAAATGATATTTCCCCATCACAGAAATGGGCGAAACGTTGTGACTATAACACCCAAATAGGATAGATAGAATGAATCAGTGTATAAAAATGATATTCCTCATCTCAGAAATAAACGTTGACTATAACAAGCAAAATGAGGATACTAGTCAGAATGAACTGTATAAAAATGATATTTCCCCATCACAGAAATGGGGAAACTGACTATAACACCCAAAATGAGGATAGATCAGAATGAAGATGTATAAAAATGATATTTCCTCATCTCAGAAATAGAAACGTTGTGACTATAACAACCAAAATGAGGATACTAGTCAGAATGAATCAGTGTATAAAAATGATATTTCCCCATCACAGAAATGGGCGAAACGAGAAGACTATAACACCCAAAAAAAGGATACTAGTCAGAATGAATCAGTGTATAAAAATGATATTTCCTCATCTCAGAAATGGCCGAAACGTTGTGACTATAACAACCAAGATGAGGATACTAGTCAGAGTCAGTCAGTGTATTATAAGGATAATTCCTTATCTCAAAAGTAAGGATAATTCCTTTTGTTAAAATTTCCAGCCAAACCCTTTTCTTCGTTTGAAACGCCATCTTTCGATTCGGTTTGTGAAAAGTGCCTTTGACTCTTCAATCGATTTGATAATCAGGCCGTCTTGTTTCTATCATCCATCAACACCTGTCGGTGACGTCGGTCCAAAATAACATCATTGTTCATTCGGTCGACTTTCATTCTTTGTTTAATGACTCTAATGCCTTGATAACTGAACAATTAATATCGAACTGTTTCATCCCAAAGAGGCGCGTATATATGGCGGGGGTAGATAAACTAATGGACAGCACATGTGACTGCATTTACTACTATGTACTGATATTCGTCGTCTTCATCTTCAATGTGCCGTGTTTCTTCAGGATGTGGGTTGATCATGTCTTCGATCTTTTGTAGCCCTTAGCAAGGTTTGTCCCCATTTCCGCCATCCATTCTGTTGTGGCTTTGTTAGGGCCAGAAATAAAGACACAAGAGAGGAATTTGTTCAAATATATTAACAGAAACAGTTTTCATATACAGACCTGTTTCAACAAGAATGTCAGAGCTTGGAAACGTCCTTAAAAAGGCAGTACCTGCTCCTATTTATAGCTGAAAGAGTCCATGCGCGCGTGGGTAAATTACCATAATAGATAGATAGATAGATAGATAGATAGATATGAACAGACTGAGATAGATATGAACTGACTGAGATAGATAGATAGATAGATAGATAGATAGATAGATAGATAGATAGATATGAGCAGACTGAAATAGATATGAACTGAATATAATAGATTGATATGAACTGACTGAAGTAGATAGATAGATAGATAGATAGATAGATAGATAGATAGCTGTGGCCTTGTTAGGGGCCAGAAATAAAGACAGAAAGAGAGGAATTAAGTTAAATGAATATATTAACAGAAACAGTAATACAAACACATATACAAACGAGAGTGTTAAGGCAAGATTGTTCGGTCTGACTGTCAGAGCTAAATATGTCTCCAAAAGGCAGTGTTTCTCCTATTTGTATAAGTCCTGTTTGGGTAAATACCATAATAGATAGATAGATAGATAGATAGATAGATAGATAGATAGATATGAACAGACTGAGATCGATATGAACTGAATTAATAGATAGATAGATAGATAGATAGATAGATATGAACTGTTGAGATAGATAGATAGATAGATAGATAGATAGATAGATAGATAGATAGATATTCAGACTGAGATAGATTGAACTGAATATAAAGATAATATGAAATGAGAATAACACGTATTTTTTTATTTTTTCCTCAGTAATTTTATAATTTTAAACTTAATAAGATTAAATTTTAAAATGGCGCCACAATGAATTGCGCGTAATTTTTTTATTTGTAATTTCAAATTTTATCGTATAATTTAATATTAATTAATTAGAAATAATTCTATTTTAGCCTAACCCCAACATTAAAGCATTAAATAATTATTATAACTAAAGTTTGTTGTCAAGTTTTTTGAATTCTCGTATACTTGTATTTTGATTGGTCATTGCAGCTTATGTAACAGCATTTCTCCATAGCGAGAGGTATTTGATTGATTTGAACCTTTTAAAAACCCTTTATTCTACATTCAACATCATCACTTGATAAGACACCAGAAATTTTGAAACAAAATGGCTATTTTTATAGTGATTTTATAACATATTTATGTTATAATTTTCGAATAAATATATATATATATATATATATATATATATATATATTATTTATTTAAAAAATATGATTCCAAATCGCGACATAAAATTCCCATGTTTCAAAACAAAAGATGAAAACTTCAATATAATTAATTAAATTATTTAAATTAAATTGAGTTAAAATAAGCTCTGTTCCATCTTCAAGCGAAATTTTTGAAGATGGAACAGAGCTTATTTTAACTCAATTTAATTTAAATAATTTAAATTATTTAATTAATTATATTGAAGTTTTTTTTCTTGTTTTGAAACATGGGAATTTTATGTCACGATTTGGAATCATATTTTAAATAAATAATTATATTTATGCTCTACTTTTGTATCGAGCACTATTTTTAAAAATAATAACTAAAATACTAAGGGACTTTGGATTATTTACCTAACCAGTTCCTTCCTATTTTCTATATATTTTCACACACACACACACACACACACACACACACACACACACACACACACACACATATATATATATATATATATATATATATATATATATATAGTTAGATAAATATAAGTTGGATATATAAACAACCGTATACGCGTGTGTTGGCGTGCATACACCGGCAATCAAATATATGATCATCAAATTTATTCATTTTTTTAAAGCATTTCCCCCTAAGCAAGGCGGGATTGCCACTAGCCCACAAGGGGTTACAGGGGGTAGAAAACAAGAGTAAAGCGGCGTGTTTGACATAAAGAGAAGGACGTGTAACAAGATCTAGATATCAGAAGATGTCGATTGACATTACACTTGAATATCTGAAGATTATAATTAACAGGGAAGCAAGTCAGAGGAAAAGAATTCCCCAGATGAGAAGTTCGAGAGAAGAAGCTCTTTGAGTAGAAGAGACGGTTACATTTAACCGTTTCGACACTGAAAGGGTGGGGCCGAGATGCCCGCCTGGTAGCTCGCTTAAATTTATGCTGTCTGTGAAGCAGAGAAAGCAACTCGTCGGAACAGTTGCCGTGAAAATACTTATAGAAGAGACAGAGGATAGCCACGGCAAATCTGCGAGAAAGCGACTAGATGCCAGATTAGGACCTATCACATTGCCTATCCGTCTCTGGATTTTGTCGAGGACCTCAAGACTTACAGTAGGGGACACCAGACTATATATGACAGTAATATTCCATGCAAGGATGAATGATTGATTTATAGATTTCAAGGATGGCACTTCACAGAGAGCCAACTTTCCTTGCGGTAGATGAAGCTATTGAGTCTATGTATTTGTTCCAACTCATGCCAGCGGACAGCAGGCGCAACGAGGCGTTCTCGTATAGTTGGGCATCAGCCATTCTGATGAAAAGCAGGGAAGGTTCTCTATGGTGGGTAAATGAGAGCAGTTTCGTTTTGGAGGCATTGAAGTTTACAAGCTATTTATTGCCCCAGTCAACCACAGATTGGAGGTCCTTTTCGAGATCAGCAGCCAGATTAACATTTATTACGGGTGTCCATAAGTCTGTGTGCAATTCAAAATACTTAAGTATCTTAAATTGCACACAGACTTTATGGATCTCTATATATATATATATATATATATATATATATATATATATATATATATATATATATATCAGAATGATTTCTAATTTAGTCTAACACTAACATTAAGGCATTAATAATTATAACCGAGGTCCCTCATCAAGTTATTTGAATTTTCATATACTTGTATTTTGATTGGTCATTGCAGATTATGTAACAGCCTATTCCCTAATAATGGGTGTTTGATTGATTTGAACCTTTTAAAACTCTTTATTCTAAATTCAACGCCATCACTTGATACACAACAGGAGTATTGCAACAATTGGCAATTTTTGTAGTGGTGTCATAACATGTTTACGTCATAATTTTTGAATAAATAATATTTGCTCTACTCTGCATTGAGCACTCTTTTAAGAATAGTTTTTTTTGTTCTTGGAATTTATTCCGTATACACTAATCCTATACTTGAATATTAGCCCCTATTACTGTTGAGCGCTGTCTATTCTGTTCTTATCTCATGGATAGAATAAGTTTCGGATTATCTTTAAAGAACACTCCCACTACAAACAAACGGGATTATTTCGTCCATTTAACTCTACAAATGGAAAACCTTATCAGAAGAATGAGATGGAAATCATACTTTTTCCTTCTTGACCAAGAAGTACAAACATGAAAAGTATGTTTTTAAGAGTTTAAAGACAGCACCAATAATTAAGGAATTGTCTGGTTCTGAAAATAACCTACTGGGAATCGTAAAAGAATTAATCTTCCATAAGTATAAAAAACTATTTTCAAGAAAAAAAAAATCTTGATGCTATTGTCAAGGATATAAATAAATCCGGTGATATTTATGTCAAACGGCTAAATTTTATAAGTTATCCCCTAAGGATTATGATGCTTTAGTTAAAAATAGTTTGACCAAAAGTTACTAGAAATTTGACACAACTACTTTAAACCTGATAGATAATATTAACTGTGTCAGCAAATCCATTACTGACAAACTATGTATAAGCGATCGTGTCAGTAAATCGCAAGCTAAGGAAGCATATATTTTATTAAAGGACCATAAACCTGATTTCAGAACCAAGCCATCAACATGTCTTATTAATCCCACCAGAGCGGAGATCGGTAGAATCAGCAAAACCATTTTGGAGAAAACCAACCAATCCACAGTGGGTTAATACTGCAGATGTTATCAACTGGTTCACTGGTATCCCAAATAAGGAAAACTGCACTTTCATATACTTGGGCATCATTGACTACTATCCCTCAATATCTAAAGATCTGTTCACTTCGGCCTTGGAGTTCGCTTAGGGGTACTCTAATATTTCTGATAATGAAATGGATATAATCTGGAAATGCAGAAATTCTGTTCTAGTTTACAATGAAGAACAATGAGCCAAAAAATGGGTTCTTTAGATTCTGCTGGGCATCTGACTTGGTGGGATTATTTCTTTTATACAATTTAAATGCCTTTGAGTGCCTAGATTCTGATAGTATCTGTCTATATAGAGATGAAGGCTTATTGGTAGTTATAGACTCTACAAAAATTATGGTAGATCGCATTAGAAAAATGCTTCATAGGGAATTTAAGGATTTAGGTCTTAAGACTCTAATTACGACTGACATTAAACAGGTAAACTTTCTGGATGTTACCCTAGAACTTAATAATAATTATATCCAACCTTATATGAAGGTTAATTCTAACCCAGTATATGTATATACTAATTCCAACCGCCCCCTTCAGTTATTAAACACATACCCTCCTCCATTGAATTTAGGATCAGTAAAAACTGTCCTAGCAAAGAGAATTTTAATAAACATAGTGAATTTTATAATTCTGCCCTTAGAAATAATGGTTAATAGAGTACCATTATTGAATATAGACATCATATTAATTATGACCATAATAAGAAAAGAAGATCCAGGAAGATAATTTGGTTTACTCCACCTTTCAACCTAACGATTAAAACCAAACTAGGACATAAGTTTCTAAAACTTATCAAAAAAAAAAAAAAAAATTCCCCGGGCTCGATAATCCACTCAGTAAAATATTCAATTATAATACCCTTAAATTAAGCTATAGTTGTGCTGATAATCTGAGAAAAATAATTAAGAAACATAATGACAGTCTTCAACAAGTATAGGGACTCAAAAAAGTTGAATAATCGCCAGGATGCATTGAGTAAACTAAGTATAATGACACTAATAATAACTTGTGCAATTTTAGGAATCCTAATAGTTGCCCATTACAGAATAATTGTTTAACTAGTTCATATATATATATATATATATATATATATATATATATATATATATATGATAAACCTAAGGAGCCAGGCAAACCTACCTAGGTTTCACCTAAATGTATCGTCGGGGTAATGCATTGCCCTGACAATCCGTTTAGGTGAAACTTAGGTAGGTTTGCCTGGCCCCATAGGTTTATATTAGGTTTGGTCTACTTCGTGTATTGTGTACTTTACGTAGTTACTTTTATTTGTTTTTCTTTTCCTTTAGAATCTGAGCTTAGATTCTGGACGATTGTTTACGCCTCAATTTCATGTTCTTTCTTTTTTTATCCCTTTTTTTTTTTTGGGGGTATTGGTTTGTTCTACTACAAGCCGAAATACCCAAGGTTTTTCAAGTGAGTACCACCAGATATATATATATATATATATATATATATATATATATATATATATATATATATATATATATATATGTATGTATGTATGTATGTGTGTGTTCATAATGGGCAAAGTTTTTGCTTTTCCCCTGTAGATCATTGAAATGAAATTCGCACAGACACACACACACAATCACACACACACACATACATACACGAACCACACACACATATACGCGCACACACACCAACAATGGATGTCATGAATGGTGCCAAACCCGTTCAGAAATATCTAAACTCTCAGCTGTATACAACCGCTTCCTAAGATCAATGATTTAAAAAGGCTTTGAGCGAATGAAACCTGAGGGTCTTGGCAAAGATCATCATGTTCTTAAATATCTTCGTCAGATTGAGACTTTCATATGGATGTCATGCATGATGACAAACCCGTTCAGAAATATCTAAACTCTCGGCTGTATACAACCGCTTCCTCAAAGGATCATTCAAGAAAAGAAAACACAACCACAGCCTCTTATTTTCCGACAGAATATACTCAAACTGCACTACACTGTTCACATATATATGTCATCTAAATATTTCACCAAGAATAAGCTGGGAAAGATTGAAAAACGCACCTGCCTACACCAATTTTACAAAGAAATGCCTACTTTACCTACACGAAAAAGTAGCAATAATTTCTCATACCCAACAAAAGAAATTACTATACATAAGATCAGAAATAATTTCTAAATGCAGACATGAAAACAAATAACTATTGTCACAATTTATAACCAATGGATAAAAAAAAGAAAAAACAAAACAAAGAACACTGCTACATAAAACACAATTCACCATATGAACGCAAAAAGAGAAACCCCTACCTCCATAACACCATTTATTATTTTGTAGTTCAAACTGCCAACATAATAATTATAATTATTGTTATTACCATTCTACCACCATTACTACAATCACTTCTATCATTTTACCATACCTATTTGCTGCCGCAGTTGTTATTATCATCACCCGATGCCCCACTATTACCACCGCATCATTCTTACCATTACCGCATCAGTCCATAATTATACTTCCTCCCACCTCCAGCAAAATTAATACCACCGCATAAATACTAATAAGTATTATAAATTTGAATTTCAAACATTTACATAAGCGCAATCGCCAAAAACAAGCAAATAACCGGCTTTGAATTAATAACAAAACAGCATTAAAAAAAATTAAAATTAAAAATAACAATTTTACCTACCATAATCTTACACAAACCCTATCTTAAGATAAAAAAAAAAACAACAAAAAAAAAAACAGACGGATAGAAGATGTATGAAAGCGCGTGCATACGTATGTATGTGTGCGAGAAAACATTATTCCGCGAAGAAACTAGACGAATAGTCTGTGCGTTGACACTGCAACTTATGGAAGAAGTTCGCTACACAATCCAACATTGAATAGAGCGACCAATTGCATACGTATGTACGCAACGACATATGGATGCGCATATATGCCCGGCCCCACACTGTTCATATATATGTTTGTGTGAGCTGCAATGCGTAAGCGTGCATGTATGTATGTCTGCATACGTCAATGAGTGAACGTGCGTGTATGTGTATTTGCGTACGTATGAGTGGCGTTGCGACGACAATTTTCCCTTCCACTTCCATAAAAACATCGATACACGCAACCATATATAAATCCAAAATTTAAAAATTAATCAGTTTGTCTGACGATCGCAAATAGCGTGAAACCCAGGGTCACAAACTCACAACAATCCATATATATATATATATATATATATATATATATATATATATATATATATATATATATTCAAAATTATAATATATGCATGTTTTATGCTATGATTTTGAATAAATATTATTTTCTCTATTCGGTATTGAACAGTTTTTGAGGAATGTAACGGAGAGAGTTTGGGAAACACACACAAACACACACACAGGTATATTTTTTTTTATTGAAATAGATTTGAACAACGAAATTAGATCAGAACAATTTTGTTTACTGATGGAAATCTGATCTAGCCCATTTGGAATTTGGTCGTTAAAAAGACAGTGGAAATGACCAGAATAAATTTTATCGGTTAAAATTTGAAATAGAGCTTTCTAAAACTGTGAGGAACTTTGAAATTCACATGATTTTCGGTTGAAAACGGCACTCGTGATAATCGTGTGCGGGACAAGGGTCGATTTGCGATCAACCAGATTTATCTATATAAATAGATTATGTAGTTGTGCTAAAGAAGAGGCAGACGGTCGAGCGAGACGGAAGAGGCCAGACAGGAGAGGCCGCGATCGGTCGGCACATCGTGGTCGCTGTGTGCCGTCACGTGCGTCGGCACCCGCAGGCGACCGTTACGGGTCGCGGTGCTACAGAAATCTTTTCGCAAAGAGAGTGGTTGGCTCGTCTGCTGACGAAAGCAGTCGAGCTGGACGGAGAGAGGTCGGAGATTGAAAGTGACGTCAGAGATTGGAACCAAACGCCCGCTAACATATGTTGTTGATATAAGTACGAAGAAGCGAATTACTCCTCCAACAATCTAAGACTGCTACTGCTACTATTATTACTACCACTTAAAACGGAAACGTTGAACAAGCTACAATAACCAAAGAGTAGTTGGCTCGTCTGTCGTCGAAAGCAGTCGAGCTGGGTGGAGAGATGTCGGAGATTGAAAGTGACGTCAGAGATTGGAACAAAACCCCCGCTAACATGTACTGTTAATATAAGTACCGATGCTTCTGCTACCACGAAGATTACTACTACTGTTACTACTGCCGAGGAGGAATGCAACTATAAACTTTAAGCCGCGCACAGAAATCTTTATCTCTCCATCGCAAGAGTTGCATATCGTTCTGAGTCGATTTAACAAGTTAATCAAAACCCACTATCTTTCTCTGTCTAGAATCCAGTGTATGAGTTTTTCTTTTTCTTTTTACGTCAAATAATTGTCTTTTCTGTAACCTGTTTCTTTTCTATACTATTTTTTTCTGCTATATAAAAGACATTAACAATTCAACCATTGAATAGTTGTTTGTCCGGTTTTCTGCAGATATATATATATATTTTTTGGTGCATTCTAAATTCCTTGCACAGACTCTCCAACCGTGTCTACATCTTCAGTCGACCGTGAATGGATGGATATCACTTCTGCTTTCTGGATCAAACCAAACACAACGTGGGCAGGAAGCAGGATTAAACCAGTGGATCGGTCGAATAATCTACGGATGCTCAGGGACTCCCTTACGTTCGGTTAAGACCGAGTAGTCACCTCAAACCAGAAAGTAAGACGTCGGTGGTTGAGGGGCTGCGGCGAAAGTGTTAGAGAATTGTGTTTTTCGTTATCGGATTTTTATTTCAGCTGGACCGACCCTGTATATAAATTTCTGAAGAAGTAATATAGTTTTCATTTATTTATCCGACATATTTTTGTTACCTTAAACGTTTACGCGCGCACGCGTGTGTGTGTGTAGAAATGAGATAAAGTGGGAAACTTGTTATTGCCAAAACGCTTCGACTTCGTTAGGTAGACATCCTCAGGTCAGAATGACGGACAAATCTATCTTTTATTCTGACGTGAAGTCGCTTACGAAACGAAGGCGGAACGTTTTGTCAATAAGATGCCTTTCATTCTAAGCACCGTTTCGTTTCTCCCCCTGAAATATGAAAGAGTACGTAACAAGGCATAACTAAATTGACCACGTTTTAGTACCACTGATATCAAAGTGTTTTAAAGTAAAAAGAGAGAGTGAGAAAAAGAGAAAGAGAATGAACGAGCGAGATCGCACGTTGTTGAAAATCAAGTTCCTATCTTACTGCGTAACCTAAATCAGGCTCTTTCGTGAGTGTGTAGATTTTGTTGAATTTTTTTTATTGTTATTATTTAACATTATATATAATGGATACACGTATTTGAAATAGACACCTCGTTTTTTTTATTTTGAAACAGTGTACATCTATCGGACTGCACCCTCTCGGGGAGCACAATTTCTTTATTAGTGTTTTTGGAGAGCGCAAACTGAAAGATGTAATACGTTGTTTCCAAATAAAAACCGGGTTTTCATTCCAAATACGGGTATACACTAAAATAAAGTTTGAAATAGAACGTTTTCTACCCACCATCAGCATGGCTGGTACCAAACTCCAAGAGATTATATTGAAGCTAAATCAAATTCTAGTAAAGTTGGTTCACTGTATCGTGCCAGAAAAAAAATATTCTCTTCAGAATGCATTTTGCACATTTATAAATCTACAATTTGTTTCTTGGCTGAATCACATCTATGGGTTATTTTATGACGAAACTAAATATTTTGTACTTAATTTTATGCTTTCAACTACAGATATTTTTTATATAATTTTAAGGTAAAAGGTATATATATATATATATATATATATATATATATATATATATATATATAATTTCAATTAAAGGTGCAAATTATAATTTATAAATTCATGAATCATTTATACAAAAAACAAATATAGAGGTTAATGATTTAAATGGCGAGAATACATCTTCGCAAACAATATAAATAAGATACACCAACCCCGAACCTGTATATGAATGATATGATCCCTGTTTATAAATTCCAGTTGCATAAGGTCTATTTAATTTTTTACAAGCTTTCGTCTGTTCCTACAGACATCCTCAGGTATGGAAATAGATTTTGTTCTTGTTTTTACTTCTCGGTAATAAGAGGACAACGAAAATAGAGATGAAATCCGAAAAAATGCTATGAGAAATGTGTTATTGTTTTGGAACGTGCGGTCGCAACACTGAGTTTGAATTTAAATTTTAAGGTTGTGCGTTTTTGTACAAAAGAGAATTCTTTTTTACTGGTAGATTTTCCGTCTATGTGGCATGAACTATATTGTTCAATAATTACAGAAATGTCACACTTATTATCCGAAAGTTGCACGTTGGATCAGTTATTTTAATTTCAATTAAAGGTTCAAATTATAATTTATAAATTCATGAATCATTCATTAACCTCTATATTTGTTTTTTGTATGAATGATTCATGAATTAATAATATATATATATATATTATAGGTTAATGGTCAGAGTTGAATCAAACCAAGAAACAGTAGTAATAAAAAGTACTCAATACACGTGTAAAAAAATAAAATAAAAGTAAAAATAACATGTAGAGCTTTTAACTTTAAAAAATAAATTTAAAACAGAAGTAACAGATATTAATAGTCAAAATAAAAGGTACATTTGATGTACTGAAGGTACTTTTAAACGTAGATGGTACAATCATAGGTCGTAATTGAAGCTAGTAAATCTTAGGTACGCTACCAAACTAGCTGACCGTGTGTGGATTTAAGACAAAAAAATCAGGGATCTGTTTGTAAGGTAGAAAATTTAAAAAAAAAAAAAAAAAAATCAACAATCACAACCTCTGCAATAGAAAAAAATAGCAATTTTGACATTTCTGGATCCAAAGAACCTTTTAAACCAGAAATCCCAAGTCTTAAGTAAGTTAAAAAAGTAATTTCAATTAATCACCCCGACACCGATATATTATTTATTATTTTTTTTTTTTTTTTCTTCTTCTTCTTCTTCTTCTTCCGTCAGGTTAATTTTTTTTTTTTATTTATTTAAAAGCGTAATATAGCGTTCAGTAGTTTAAACAAATAAAGCGTTAGGAGGTAATTTGATAAAAATCGCCTAAGGATACCGTAAGGTTGAAACCATATATATATATATGGAGAGAGAAAGAGATATAAAACGTAATGTTGGTTATTTTGCTATAAAAATATTTTTTTTATATTTTTTGTGTTGCATTGGCATTTTGTTACAAAATTTATTGTTGGTCATTTTATTATAAAAATGTCCTGTTGGTTTTTGTTTGGGGTTTCACTATCTGCCCATAGCTGGGACCCTAATAGGTGCTACCACACCCGGTCATCGTGGACCTGGGAACAGCAATTAAGATGTGGTTTCACACTCCTCAAAACCTACAATCTCCTGATCAGAACCCTTGTTGCCGGATGTAGTTTATCGTCATACCCAGGACGACTATTCGTTCGTGCATTGAATACTGCTGCCGTATCATATCTGGTACTCCTGCTGTATTGAGAGAAGGATCTGTAATGTAATCGATTCTGATTTGGCATCTTGACTTCAGTCACTTTCGCATCGATGTTATGGAGCTTTCCAAATTTTTTCATTGCAACTGTTCTGACGAGTTTTTTTTTCCTTAACACCCAGACTGCAGAAATTTATTGCTACTAAATTGGCAATTAGGTCCCAGCGTCTTACTATTGAACTAGCTAGATGAAAACCGCCAATTCTATTTTTAAAGTGTCTTGCATTTCTCACCTGTGAAAATCCATTCCGATTTCTTGCTTCCCTGTCAACGACAATCGTCAAAAATTTAAATGATTTCTCAGTCGCTAGAACTGTTTCTTTATTGTCCTTTCCTCACTAATGTCTTCTCATTATAATTGATTCAGTAATCATCTGCATCCTAACGGTATTATTGCCTTGCTTGGGGCGAAATTTATTCTGTGACCTCACTTAGGAGGAACGGCGGAGTAATAGATGGCGGATTGAGGAACTGGAAAGCTGAATTCGAATTCGAGTTCAAATCCATTACATTCACTTACGTGCTAATATCCTTAGATAAGGTATCAACCCTCTTCTTCTATGGGTAAATAGCAGGACAAACCGGGTTCTATAGGCTTGGATGGCAACTGGTCTACCGCAGAAAGAAATGGCAACCTACTGCGGAAAAAAATCTACCCCGTCAATCATGTATCGAAAGGTACATGATCGCCTATCACGCATGACACATAAGTGAATCGGAGAGCCGAGTTCGAATTCCAGTCGAATCCATTACATTCACTTACGTGTTAATGCCCTTGGGAAAGGTATGGATCCTCTTCTGGAGAAATAGCAGGACAGACCGGGTTCTATAGCCTTTGATGGCAATTAATCTACTGCAGAAAGAAATGCCAACCTACTGCGGGAAAAAATTTGCCTCGTCAGTCATGTATCGAAAGATACATGATCGACTAAGCGTGTATCACGCATGACACATAACTGAATCGGAGAGCTATTTGAATTCCAGTGAAATCGATTACATTCATTTACGTTCTAATACCCTTGGGAAAAGTATGAATCCTCTTCTCCTCTCAGCTATGGATAAATAGCAAGACAGACTGGGTTCTATAGCCGTTATTTTTTTAAAGTCGATGAAAAACGTTGTTTAAAAAAAAAAAAAAAAAAAAAATTTCATTCGTTTGTCTTTGCTGTGAAAAAAAGAAATGGCACATAACTGACTGAACCTCACTTAAATTCT